CCATCGAATAGAAAATAAACTTGTTTTTATTAAGCAAAAAAATATATATTAATTTTTAATAATGCTCATGTCTGCGTGAAGTCTGCGATTATCTAATAGGACTATCTAGTAGATGCTCGTTTTTGAGATATCCTAACCTCAAAGTGAAAAAAAACGCGATTTTTACACATATTTGAGGTTATATAATATCGTTAGGTATTTTTTTACGAACCTAAGAATAGCATCTTAAAGTACAATCCTCTTCCCAAGCGAATTTTGAATGGTCCAAATATATTTTTTTTTTATCACCGAGATAATAATGATGATTTGAAGTTACCGATTCACCAAATTATACACTCAGATGCAATGTCCATGACAATGGACAAAGCGGCGCAGGTTACAGGACTCGAGGATTTAGAAAATCGGGATGTAAGAATCGGGGGTTATATCGTCGCAGGTTGCAAGGTTCGAAGGTTAAGGAAATTGCGGTTTAAGGGTCGGCGATTATAGCGTCGCAGCTATAACTGTGGATAATAGTTTTAGTATCAGTATTTTAGCGATATATGATAAAGAACTTAAAATGTGATCTTCATTGTTCTTATTAGTATTGGAAAATAAGGACAGATATACAATGTGGCTAAAGTAGATCCTGCGTAGATGATACTTCTCTCTATTTTGCGGTATAACAGAAAAAATGAAAATAAATAAGTTATTTGTCAATAATATATTGTATAATTCCACTTTAAGAATTACTGGGAAATTACATTAAATGTACGGAAAAATACACATCGATTGTATTGCAAACTTACATTATCTAGGAAGAAGATGCTGGATATTACTTTTTTCGTAGTCTCATATAATTTTCTAAATCCATTTATATAGCTTGTATTTTTATTATATGATTACACATCTCTAACAATTTCTTCGTCATTTTCAACTTCATCAGAACATCAATAAATGGCCTTTGTATTAGCTGTGTTTTGCTACCTTCGGTTTAACTTTTCAAGGCACTTTAAATTCTATATAATACCAAAAAGGGTTAAAGTTTACTAATTACAAGTAATAAACTATTGGACATGTTCAACTGTTTATTGTAAAGTGTTTGGTATGACTTTGACTTGACCTAAATTAGGTATATACTTATTTTATGTGAAAAATTTGTGAAAATTGGCTGATTGCAGTAGTGTAAAAATCGATTCAAGATATATCTAATTGCATTACGCCAAATTTGAAAATCATTTAGCAATATTTTTCATACTTTTACGGCATTTTTTTGAAGAACATTTATAGAACTTATTTTCAGCATATGTATTTTTACAGCTATACATACAATGCTGTAAATTTACCCTAGATCCCTTTTTTCGATATAATTTCATTAAAAGATTCTATAATAAAACAGGATCAGTAGATATATAGGTATACCTATGAATATGTTATGTTCTCTTAATATTTCATTATTGACTCTTATTTATCTTCATCAAAATATAGATACTGTAATCCGCAGATTTTCAGTGTAATTTTACATAAAAATTATATTATAAAATTGAATTAATATAGGTAAGTAGGTATCTGTATAGATACTATTTTATGTAATATTTCAGTACCTATTCAATAAATAAAGCTTTGTTGTTACATAATGAAATGTTAAGGTATGAAGTTTTTTTAACATCATCAAAGACTCTATATTATAATTATTAAACTCTGAAGAATGTTGAATACTTCGTGAGGTATATATTATTAATTCTTTAGATAAGTGAATAATACTTTGATGATGAAAAATTATCTGAATAATTAGATGTCATGATTATTAATTTTGGTAATAATCATATTCCATCCATATATTGCTATTAGTTCACCAAAAAGTATACTTTTTAAAGGGAGTTCTCACGTCATATTAAGACAGAATTCCTTATAATAGAAAAATAGACCATGAATGAATGAACGATATTTATGTAAATATTTTTTTTATAAGTAGGTACTCAAAAAAGCTCTTATTAAATACCTATCATAGAGTTCCAGTGTCAAGAATTGCTATTCCAACAACATATTATCAAATATATGTATCCTTTTCCGATATACGCAGGACAATTCACATTAGAGTCTAATCCCTTACCTTTTTACCTTTCAATCTAAAAAAATGAAGATCAAAATCATAGTAAATTTTGTAGCGATATCAAAGATATATATTTTTAAAATCTATTGACTGTTGCGTTTTGAATATATAAACCAAATTTGTGTTGTTTTTAAGTAAAACACCCTATATATTTGTAACTCATTTCCTCCTTTTTCTGATTGTAGTGATATAACATGTCGTATTTGCTTTCACTTTTTACACAGTATTTTGGTTTATTTACTGACCCTCCGCAATTGATCAACTAGAACCAGTACAATTTATGTTTTTCTTCTATTAAATTTAATAAACTAATCTGTAAATAGTCTATTATGAAAAAATACTTCACTGTGAAAGGTATGTCATAATAACCTAATCGTATTCTAGACAAAGAGCATTTTTTGAATAAATTTGTCTCCTATGGAGGGGTAATTTGATGATCCATAAGATCAATTTGATTTCAATAAAATTCTTTTTATGGTGGATCTTGAAAGATGAAGACATGCAAATCTAATAATTCGTAGGTACGATATAAGGGACAAAATATTGAACGAATACCAATACCATTAAGGTGGATAGCAAAGTACCTATTAAAAAACTTGTAAAGAATAAATATACAGAGTGGTCCCGAGGTAATGGGCCAAAATTCATGGGTAGATGATAGAAATCTAAAATATTATTTTAGTTTATTTCCATTTATTTCTTAATAAATGCAAATATCTACACAAAATTTTGGGGTTTGGGGTTTCTTGGGTAGAGGAATTGAAATTTGTTCACATTTTGGTTGTAGTTCATAGAGGGCGCCAGCTGCCTTTCCAACTTTTTCTACAAAAAAAAGGTACACTTTATGAAAGTAGCTGTCTCTCACCATTTCGAGATATTTGGCTTTAAAGCTTCCAATGCTAATAGTTGAAATAATTAAAATAATTTAGAAATATAAAAAACAAGGGTTTATTTAGAATGAAAAATTGTAATGAACAGTAAAATAGTAAACATTAGTAAAAATATGCTTTACAATAATGGCTCAAAATGTCCACCTCTAACTTCAATACATTTATCCACGCGTTTATTAAGAGATTGTCTTATTTTAAAGTATAAATCCTTAACGCGAAATGACTTTGCAGCATTTAAAACCGGCTGCTAAAGTTTTTCTCAGGTGTTTATAGTTTCTCCATAAACAACTGATTTCATCTAACTAGAAAAACGAAAATCTCGGCATTATATCTCACATTTATATACGAGTATACAATTTAAATTGTAAGCTAAGATGTAATTTTAATTAGGTACGAATAATACTTAATAGAAATTAGCGTACAAGTGACAGTAATAAGACAAGTGGAAAACGTCAATTATTTGATTTTCGTCAAAATCCTACTTAAGAAACTTTACCGCTAAATTAATAATACCTGTAGGTACCTACTTAATTGTAATTTAATGCAACAGCATGGGAAGTTTAAAAGGCAAATATTTCGAAAACGGTGCGAGATAGCTACTTTCATAAAGTATACCATATTTGTATATAAAAAGTTGGAAAATAAAAATGTAATACCAAAGTTGAGATACCTTAAACTACAAAAAAGATATGTCACATTCAATCTACTGCAGCTAGCGCCCTCTATGAACTTTAATCAAAATGTGAATAGATTTCAAATCCTCTACCCAAAGAACTCCAAAGCCCAAAATTTTGTGAGGATATTTGCATTTGTGAAGAAATAAATGGAAATAATATTTTTCATTTAATACCCTGTATCTCATTAACTATCAACTTTTGGACTAAGGTAAGTTTGGCTAAATCGTAATATTTTTGCTCGGGGAATCCCATGAATTTTGGCCCATTACCTCGGGACCACCCTGTATATGTCTGTTATCTAGAATTGAGTGAGGGGTGAAGGTATTATAAAACAACTTTCATATTAAGATATTTTTTCTTAACAGACAATTTTAAAATTTCTTTAGTATATTTAACAGTGAAAGACATCCTGGCAATTTGGATCAGAATCAGTAAATAAATTGAAATTATTAAACAAACTTTTAACACAAAAATATAGCATGTTGAAATCCGAAAAAGAGAGGAATTGAAAAAACGACAAGTATATCGGGTGTTGCATTAAAAAAAAATAAAAGTTATATTTCTTCGAAGTACAATAGTTAACTGTTTTTTTTTAATATTTCTTTAAAATTGCAACAAAATGTCCTAAAACCATTTTCTCTTATATAGAAAGGTAAAAATAATAATGGGAGTAGAATATTATGACCCTGTCCTTACGGTTATTATACATATCTACTCGTGTTTTGTATTTTACATTTGTCATTAGATTAGATATAGGTACATGACATTATGACATTTACACTTAAATATCTGTATTAAGTCGGTGAACAAACAAAAATATATTAAGAACAAAATATATACCCATATACTTAAACCTCTTGCACTAGTACCCAAGAGCATTTTCACTGTTCTTTTGATGTTAATAATTCAATTTTTTTATTTTTAAGAAAATTATATCACAAACAGTTATTCTGAATGTTTGATAATAATCAATTAAGTGAAATTAACTGACATCATAAAACAAGGCGAATATCAATGGCTTCTCAGATATATTCTGACATTTTTCTAGCATTTTCTTTTAACTTACCTCATTTGGGTTTTACTATAATGTTCTATGAAAATTGTTTAAATACATGATAATGCAAATATCAGTTTTTCGCTATATTCTATGAAAATTGTTTAAACATGTAATAATGCAAATATTAGATTTTCGCGACTACGAGTTATTTTGCTTTAGTTTTCTAAAAACTGGGTATAATAATTTCACGAATAAATTGAACCAAAACAACAATTTTTCTTCAAACACTTTTTAATTTCATACTTCGGTAGTTCATGGACCTGATTAGAAAGATAAGTACTTACATCGTCATCGTCGAGCTGCCCATAGACGTCGAGTTTGTCGATGCGAATAGTCCCTTGGAAAGGATAACACAAGGACCCTTGAGCGATCGTCGTATTGGACCAAACTGAAACCTCCGGCTCGCGCCTGTTACCCAATCCTGCATTCCGCACGCACAAACTAAACTCCTGAGGGATCAAGACACAGGTCTCCATCTTAGCTCGTGTCCTTAACACATACTATATCTCTCATAAACACAACAAAAGTACTTGGTAATAAGTGCGTATAACTGGTGCTCTTAAATCAACAGTACATAAATTAACGTTTTAGCAATAACTGTAACTAAATATAAAATGTCCTCAATGTATTTAAAAAGTCATATAAAGTTTTCAAAATAAGTTCTCGGTTCGGACGGGGGGGCTGAATTTTCTGTTTATCTCGGGGGGTATCGCGCACGCGGTGTCTTATTATTATTTTCGCGGTGATCTAGTGACCGTAGCCTTGCTTGAATGGCACTGAACTAGGCACTAACATTGACCCTCACATCTTACCTCTACCTATAAGTCCCCACCCTCATAAACACGTGGTTCGCACAGGTAGAACGGTCTCTTTCCAACGAACAGGTGCTTGAGGAACAGAGATCGATGTATATCACGAAATTACGGCGGACTCCAAGACGGTTACATACTGGACGTGACGGTTGCGCGGCCAACTGAAATTTCGGCTTAGAGATACTGCTGTTCGGTGTAATTTTTATAAATGTACCCTCGGGGGGTTCGAAAATGGGTAGTAATGAGTACCTGCAAAATGCAACATCTTTCCAGATAAAAAAAATGTTGAATTAAAATCACTCTCGCTTCTTTTCATTTTTTAGCATTATCGGATTGACTTCTGTGTTGGAAAAAACAAGTTTTAAATAAAATATTTGCATATATTTTTAAGAATTTTGTTACTCGCTTAATCTATCGTCGATATCTTTTAAGTGCGTCTCCGAAATTGTAGATATTAGTAAGTAATTATAATTTTTATTTTATTTTTTTTTAAATCTTAGGTAGGTACATTACAAGAACTCTCTGCATATTTACTTAAGTGTAATATTTTTTTAAATACTTTTTAACTTGTAAAATACAAAGTATTTCCATATAAAGATGTTGTTTCTAAGTCATTTTAGCTTCTTTTCATTTTAGTATAATCACATTGGCTTGGGTGCTGGAAAAACGCAAAATTTTAAATTTAAGTTAAAAATTTAAATGCATATTTGGTTACTCGTTTAGTCTATCGCCAATATATGTATTTCAAGCGTAGGTATCTACAAAAATGAATTAATAATTATTAATTTTTAATTTCTTTCAAACATTAGATAGTACTAACTATACCCTGTAGGTAAATTAATCGGCTGTTTGAGTGAAAGCAAAAAGGAACGGAGTGAATCCATTGAGTGAAATTATTTTCACATTTTCATTTAATATTGAGCATGTTGATCATTTTAACACATTTTTCATAATAATGGAACTAAAACTGATAGTTTTACTAATAAAATTTTAGTTGTACTCATACTAATACAGGAAAATTTCACTTAATCAAAAATTATTGATACATTTATTTAGTAAAATTGAGTGAAATTAAGCACAATCAATTTTTTCACAGTGTATGTAAATGTTTTAACCTTCCAGATAAAGATGTTGAATCTAAATAATTCTCATTTTTTAGCATAGCATAGATCTATGGTGAAACATAAAGTTTTAAGTTAAACATTTTCAGGCATTTTTAGAAATTTGGTTACTCGTCGCATATATCGTCGATATCTCTTAAAGGCATCCCAAAAATTGTGCTGATGACTATAATTTTCAATCTCTGTAAAACATTATAGGTAATTCTTTGTTGGTACTAGGCACAGCTATCTGCGTACGTATATATATTTTTTAATATTAACCTGTAAAGTACAGATAAAATAATATTGTATTAAAATTGTTCTCGTTTCTATTAATTTTTTTAACAGAATCAGATTGACAGGTGCTAAAAAAATAAATTTTAACAAAAGGGCGCATGAATTTTTTTAATTTTGCATGGATACAACTGGTAAAATTTCTCTTGAGACCTAAAATGCGCAAATCAAGGAAAGGGTGCATTTGATGCTGTATATTGAGATGACAATGTATGCAACACATAGTAAAGGTAAATACTCTCTACTGCTTTGCCACTGCGCATCCTAACCTCATATTTGTTTTCTAAATATTACAATATTCAATGCTCGGCGGGGCTGTAGCTCGCAGATTAGTTAGTTGTTTTCTACAATATAATTACTTAAACTTTCCTGTTTACTTGTGATATATGACTTAGTCTCTGGTCAGTTTAGTTAATAATAAAGTACATAGTACACCTATTATATTTATTCATATTTTCACTCTTAATATTATGAATTTCATTTAATTTGCGTCATTTTAGTGGACTGAAGCGAAAAGAATATTATTAAATTAAGGTTTCTGGTCTAATTTAACGTTGATATCTCTATATTAGGAGTGTAATATTTGGAGATTATTCATTATTCTGATGGAGTTTTACTTATTTATAGCAAAAGAAATGTTGACTAGTGTAACGTCACCAACGAAGACGAACTTATCTGAAACAATATTTAAGTAGTTATGGATAACTTTGATCTTTTAATTTGCATTACTTCTTTGAAGCTAAACAACTTAGTTTAGTCAGTAACAAAACTATTTGGTCAGTATAGCTAGGTACTGCACTACAGTTTGCATTTTTATGGGAAAAGTTTTGCAGAAGAGTTTTTTCCTCATTTTTCATTTACTAAAGGAAAAAAATCGGAAGGCCTATTAATTTTTAAGAAAGTACCTAGATGTTTTAAGTGATATCTAACATCATTAATGAAATTGATGTGGGTATGCTTGGGCTACGCGCCCAGATATCTGTTAGGCAATTAATAACATCAACAAAAAATATAGTTTAGTCCTAATTAATTTAAATATTGGTTATTTTCACTTAATTCATTAGCAAACCAAAGAATCTAGGTGTGTACTGTCACAACATAATAATGCGTTCCACTTTTAAAGTCAAATTTTTCTAACTTCTATACCTGTGATATGTGCTTAGAAAAAAAATTCTTGCATTGAATTATTACTTTGTCTTATTTTTAGTAACTTAGATACTAATGGCCAATTCATAATAAGATCTTAGTCTTAACTTTACCCTTTATCTCATTCCTAATATTCTTTACTTTGTTTATAAAAATTTGGTCCTAATTCAATCTTAAGAATTGGCACTGAAATGACGAACAATTGCGCATGCGTACTTGTATTGGTGTTAGTTTAGTCCTAAGAAGTTGACAGATAAGAACTTTCAAGTCTTAAGATCTCCCTATAGGGCTTCGACTAGATTAGAAATTTTATAAATTAGCACCATGAAATCTGTTTAATGTGCTAGACAACTTACGACAAAGACTAAGGCCAAGTTAACCTAAGAAAAAGGACTTTTTCACCATTCAGAAATTGTCTAATTATGTTATAAAGGAATAATATTATTAGTGGTATTTCTAGATCAAAAATGAATACTTTTTTTAAACCTTAACGAAAGAAAATTTAAAAAACAAATTATGGGTAGAGTAAAACAATTAAAATCTTCTGGTCGTTACTGTTATCGTTCTAGGTATATAGTTAGTTGAATTAATAATTTACCAAGTGAAAAGTAAATTTAAAAATGTTAGATATATTTTTTGATAATTATTTAATCTCTAGCAACACAAAATATAAATATAAACTCTTTTTGTATATTGTAATTGATGGAGACTTTTTTAAAGAAAATAACGACACGACATGCTGCAACATTTAACTTCACTTTCAGCGCATAAACTGTCTCGCTGTCAAAAAAAATGTGCCGCAAAAACGCGATATACGCATGCACATAAACCGCAGAGCATATTATTTTGCATTTCTCTGTCAGTTACGCTGGAGTTAATTGAGCCGAGTACACGCCTATGCAAATGCGAGCAAAGGTAAATAAAGACTTGAATAAGCCCGGACGAGGCGGCATTGGCCAGCGGAGCCGCGATGCCCCGTCTGCGATTCGTCGGGGCCGCCACGGTCCCTCCTACCTGTTGCCCTGACCGACAGGTGCAAACTTGGTACAGACTCCACGGATACAGTACCACGTCCATCCGAGGTGAGGAATGCGGCGGCGTTATAAGATTTCATTCAGGTGTTCGTTCGCTTCTAATTAGGATCAATTTGGTTGTCGAGGCATCGGACGGTGCCTCGGTAGGTAGGGCGTCCTTGGGACAACCTGATGCGGCGTTTCGTCCTTTGGGGTTGATAAATTAATTAACAATTGCAAAAAAATAATAGGTTAATGTACGCCGAAGAAATAGCTTACAGGAAAAGTAACGGCAATTTTTTACCTTGATTTTGATTATCCAAATTAAATAATATTTTATTGGTAAAATTACTTTGCGCTGTAATTTTACATCTTACTACTGCAATATGGAAAGATCAGGGTTGATTGTACCATTTTTTCTTTGGTTAATACATTTATTTGAGGAGCTGACAACTTGTATATCTGTATGGAATACTTGACTTAACATTTCTGATAATATCCTTAATTATAAGTGTCTTAAAAAAAAGTATATACCTACACAGTGTGTCCCCGGATGACTTGTACTCTTGTAAACTTTTTTTATTATCGATTTTTCGAGAAAAATTTGTTCTAGATAAAAAGTTTTGCTTATTTTGGGAAGCCATGGTCAGTAATCAAATATGTAATAAAACATACCGGGCGTCCAAAAAATTTCAAAATTTGAAATTTTCCTTAAGCAAATTGCCTTTAATTTTTGTTCCCGTTAAAAACTGTATTTAACAAAGTTGTTCGAACAGTCAAAAAAGAGGAATAATCACATTTTGCAAATTAGATGACGGAATTTTTAACTATCTTACTTAAAGCATACATAAATTATAAAAACTAAGTAAACTTTTATTTTATATTTAATATAAAATAAGTATAGCTTGGTAGAACAATTTCTGGGTTGATTGACACGTCGCGTGTCGCACAGTGAGAAATATTGGACAAAATTCTCGCCACTCGCCAATTTTCATCGTCTTATCGTGATTTTTTTTAATAATCTCGTGGTAATCTGAATTTTCATATTCCGGTGAGGTTTTTTCGAAAAACCCTTTTTTTAATGGTTAGGGAGCGCCCTAACCTCAATGTCGAAGAAAAAATTTTTAAGTAGGTACTCGATGTTCAGTTGTAGAAAAAAATATTTAAAAAGTATCTGCTATTAATAAAATTGATTATTATGACCCTTGATGATATATCTGATGTTTTTTCTTCAAAAACCTAACCTCAAAATAATTAATTCCAACCTAAAAGCCTTCAACTAAATTTTTTAAAATTTTTTTACATGCCAAAAGTACGAAATAGATTCAATAGAACCCTACGTAACATGTTATACCCAAACCATGAATTTGAATCACCTTCCATCCGATTCACTTGTTCGGG